CAAGCATAAATCAAGGTTAGTAGATAGAGGTTTCCTACAAAAGTATGGTTTAAATTAGTTTGAAGTGTTTGCACCTGTAGCCAGACATGAAACCATAAGGTTGGTTATTGTTATAGCTGCAAATAGGAATTGGCCTCTAATACATAGATGTAAAGTCAGCTTTTCTTAATAGTCTATTGCAAGAAAATGTTTATATGTTATAACCTCCTGGAGTTTTGAAAGTGAACAAAGAAGGGATGGTGTACAAGCTTCATAAAGCCTTGTACGGGCTGAAACAAGCTCCAAGGGCTTGGAATATGAATATTGATTCATTTTTCAAGCATCTGGATTCAAAAAATGTGAAATGGAATATGATGTGTATGTGCAACATACTTCTGAAGGAAATGTGATCCCGGTGTGTCTTTATATGGATGACATACTTCTGACAAGGAGTTGTACTTCTAAGGTAAACAAATTCAAGAAGGTATTGATGAATGCATTTGATATGACTGACCTTGGAAATATGATATATTTTCTAGGGATGACAATTTTGCATTCTGAGAAGGAAATTATTATGCACCAACTGAAATATGAACTTGAGTTGCTAAAGAGATTTGAGTTGATGAATTGTAAGTCAGCAGTCACACATGCTAAGACAAATCATAAGTTCGACTCTAATTCTGATGGTGAGGATGTAGATGCTACAACCTTCAAGCAAATAGTTGGATATTTGTGATATCTATGTAACACCAGGTCTGACATATGATATGCAATTGGTATGATGAGTAGGTTTATGTGTAAACCAAAGTAGTCACATTACGAAGTTGCAGGCAGGATTATGAGCTATGTAAAAGGAACTCTGATGCATGAAATTTTGTTTCCATCTAGAGTATCAGATGATGTTAAACTAGTATGCTACTCAGACTCTGACTGGTATGGTGACATAGTAGACAAAAAAACATTACAGGATACATGTTTATGTATCTAGAAGCCCCCATTTCTTGGTGTTCCAAGAAAAAACCACTGGTTGCATTGTAACCCGTGAAGTTGAATATGTAATTGGTGCTTTGTCAACTTGTCAGACTGTTTGACTGATAAATTTGTTGTAGGAACTGAAGTTCAAGGTGATCAAACTAGTAAAGTTGATGATTGACAATAAATATATCATAAGTCTCGCTAAAAATCCAGTGATGCATGGAAGAAGCAAGCAGATTGATACCAAGTATCATTTTCTACACAATCAGGTTCAGAATGGAATAGTTGAGGTTGTTCATGTCAGCATTCAGAAGCAACTTGCAGATGTGTTGACTAAGGAAATCAAAATTGGGCACTTTATTAATTTGAAGGATGTAACTCGTGTTGTTGATTTTTAATTTGAATGTGAATTAAGGGATGATATTGAGTGTAATTCAAAATTCAATATTGTTTAGTTTTTTTATCTCATTTGCATTTGAATTTGGTTTGAATTCGGGTCATTATATATAAACCCAAATTATGTTGAATTTGAATTAACATCTTGCATTTAAGAAATACAAAAGTTAGTTAGAAATATCTCTCTCTCACACACACACACGCACACGCGCGCGCGCACACACACACACATCTTCATCTTCTCATTTCTTGTGCATTGTTAATTGAAATTCATTGTTAAACTCCGATAAGATCGAGAATCAGAGAATGGAGTGTTTAATAAATTCATAGAATCGTAATTACTGTTGATTCGATAAAAGTTGATGTGATTCAATTGATTTAACAGTCAAACCAATGAATTGATAGATTTTTCAATCGACAAATTGATTTTTTTATTTTTATTTTTTTAACTCGTCAATCTAATGTCGTACTGTATGTAGAGTAAAAAGAATTTTAAAATTGAAATAAACGATAGATAATGTGTCTCCACTTTCATATTTTAAATTTTCTTTTAAAATCTAAATATTTGAATTGCATATTACTAAAGTTATTTGTATGAATAATTTTATAAAACTTCTTTTTTAGATTTTATGTTTATGAAATTTATACTAAAAATTATTTTGTAAATATTTTTATTTTTTATTTTATAATTTAGTGATTACATATTTGATCAATAATTTAATGACTCAATTAGCTTGAGATAATTCATAACCTTTACGAAATTTAACATATTACTTTGAAATGAAGTGATGAGATGCATTTAACAAAAATGAATTTCAAATTCGGTGTAAAGTGGGGATTTCATAAAAGAAAAGTATGGAAAAAGAGTGTTCATATCATATTTATTACAATTACAAGCTAGAAAATGAATATGAGTTTATGTACACATAAATATTAGTTGGATAAAAATAAACAACAAAAGTTTTAGAAAGAAAAAACTTAAACCTTCTATCAATTCAAATGTAGTCTTAAAAATTTTATGATAGAATAAGATAAATTCTTCATTCAGCCTAAATTAGAGGAGAAAATATATAGTGATAGATGATAGAATAAAATAAAATTCATATCACTTTATTTCATTCTACTTCGTCTAATTTCATGGATTCAAACAAAGTTTAAAAAAACTTCTTATACTTATTTAGGACATTAATTTAAAGCTAAAACTTCTTCGATCCAAACAAAACTTAAATAAACTTCTGATTTGTATTTGCGACATTATTTTAAAGTTAAAACTCCATATACCAAAACAAGAGAAGCTTCACCAGTAAAGTTCAAAGAATTTTTGTTGGTAGAACGCACTTATGATAAATAATCTCTTTTCTGTTATCATGGTTTCTTGTTGCCCTTAACCTAATGCCAAATACAATCCTTTTCTACAACCAACCACCACCACTTTCTCACTCAAATTAAAAGGGCCATTATACCATCATGAACACTTCGTTTATACCGTACGTTTTACTGCAATTAAAGCCATTGGTTCCTTCACGTGATTGGGTAATGGAGATAGAAACCATCTTTTGCTATAATTGTTCAATCTTTTAGTGGAACTATAAATAATAATTGCATCTACGTCTTAATCATGGACAACAAACTTACAAGCTAATTAACAAAAGCTCAATAAAAAAAGGTATAACAGCACAAACGGTTTGAATTTTATGTGTAAACAAATTTGGCAATGATTTATAGTATAGATATGTCCGTAATACTTTCAAATGAAAAATCATTAAATTCAAACCAGCTAAATTATTAATTACAATACAGGATATAAATTAAAATAATGTTTCTCTTACGAATTTTGAAAAAGTTTTGTTGTTTATTTTGGTTATTTTCGGGTTGAGAATTAATTTCTATAGTTTTGCTCAAAAAATATCTGATTTTTACGGAAATAAAATCAAAGAATATTGTTGATAGACTTTTTTTTTTTGAATAATCTCTTTTTTTCCATCTTATTAAAGAATCATGTCCCTGAAATGGTTCACACTGTCCTTCTCTCAATCAGTTACTATTTAAAAAAGAATCAAGAGATAAAGATAGCACCGTAGGTTGGTAGACTTTCATTTTATAAATTATTATTACCATATGATTATAACATCATTGTCTTCAAGATGGTAAAAAACTAGGGGTGCACATGGTTTATAAATCAATCTAAATTAAACTAGTTTCATTCAGTTCCTAAATCCATTTTAAAGAAAACGGTTATTTTTGGCAAAATGATGCAATTTAAGAGATGTTTCAATCAGACTCAATGATTTTCACTTCTATATTCAGATAAACACTAACTTGTAGGAAGTAGATCAAGACGGTTGAAGTTTGTAATTTTCAATGTTTAGAGTTTGTGAAACTGATTTGGGATTGATTGCTGTTTGCCATTTTTTGAATTTAAATAGGCTGGATTGTTTATGTTAGTAACTGGGCTGGATTTTTAAATATGGAAGAATCATCTGGTTATCATTTTGGTTAGGAATAACAAATTTCTTTGCACACCCCTACTGGGAACTAGATATCTATATCTAGGCAGGGTCAAAATAAGAGCAAAGCAGAACAAAATAAACTGCCAAACCGAACCAACCGATCCAACCTGTCTTGAAATTAATCGAACCAATTTTAATAATTTGCCAACCAAACTATTATTTCCCATAGTTTACTGACCGGCACCAAACTGGAAATAACTGAACCAAACTGTAAGAACTGAACTGCAAATAACCTCTCATTTATCTCAGGTTTAGTTTCAGACTGTGTTGCTGAATTCTTCAGTGTCACAGTAATTCTTCTTGACCATTTTCCCAATCAGTTTCACTTTAACCATTACCTTTATTTTTGAAATCAAAGATTGGTTTCATTATCATGTTGGCAATGAAAAATGAAACAATGAAAATGAAAAACACTACCCAGAAATTCATTCACTGGCCATTGAACAAATAGTTCAAACAACCAGACTAATTAGAATCATGAATTTGGTAGTTGTTAAGAAAATTTAGAAAAAAGATAAACAGTTTGGTTCACCATAATAACAGTACAATTCAGGAAAAGGGTTTAATAGCAGTTCAGTTTGGTTAAAAACTAAGAATTGGTTCACCGAACTATTAACTCGGTTTGTTATGATTCAGGAAAAACTATAACACATGTAAACACATCTTATCAAATATTATGAAAATTTGAAATCTGCAAACATACAAACCATTTTGTAATCATCCTACACTATAATTCATTTGCACAGACGGCAATAAAGATCACACATGGCATCCCGACGTCTAATAAGACTTCAAAAGTCACGTGAAATTGCAGAAGACTGATTCTAAGTTCTAACCCATCAACAGACAAGCTAATCAACCTTGGAACATTTCACATTAAAATTCCTCCTGCCATAAAAATTCGCATTTCCATTATCGAGTTATTTTGCCAACACAATAGCATGGGAAAATTCAAGAAGCAAAAGCATGCAAACTTATAATTGTAAGTTACTACTAAAAACACAGTATCATATGCCATACTGTCAATTATATGTACTAGACTAAAGTGATTCACTCAACTAAACTTCATTTCACACACCAACATCTAAAAATTGTGTAAATCCGGCAGCCAAGATAAACCTGTCAATACCTTGAACCAGTTCATGATGTAGATGCAGGTCCTCCGGAGCTCACATTCTCAGACACCGGTGCAGAAGGAGGAACATATATGCGTGCTTTCTTGAGAATTTCAGCAACCACCCAATGTTTACGCTTGCTCAAAGGCCTAGAAGAATCCAATCGAACCTGAAATAACAACCATTAAAGCATACACTTGTTTAGTTTTCTTGCAAAACCAAGAACACGGCCAATCCAAAATTGAACTCCATTTGTCTCAAATTATAACATCCATGGTTTAAATTGTATTCCGCAACCACAATTGTGGCTGCAATATTGCTGATGCAATAGCTTCCGCATTTGCGATTGTGGCTGCAATAGTGCTGACGCGGTAGCTTCCACAACCTCATAGGATCGCAATTGCAATGTGATTTAAAATTAAATGTCCAATCGTATTAGAAATCACATCAGACAATTTCACCAATGTTTCTTCAAGTATTTTTGTCAAAAGTTCAAAACTCAAAATTTCAAAACCCTATGACTCAATTTACTTATGATGAAATAAAAAGTCTTAATTTTTTTTCACCATGTATTACGAACATCTTTCAATAAAAATTCACAATGCAACGGCCACAATGTACATTGCAGCAATCGCTATGACCGCAATCGCAACACCCGTAACCGCAATTTAAAACCATGACATCCTTTTGAAACATATACTTGTTGACACTTTGTAGTACAAGAAAATGTTACCAATCCTGGATCACAAAAAAAAATTTTTAAAAATGGTTCGTCTAGATTCCGTTATAGACGCTATCAGAAAACATTTTGTATTACATGTCCGTATTGCGAACGATAGTAATTTTTAAAATCGATAACACGGTTATAGCCACTATTCAACAACACTATCAATTAATAGACATAACTTTACAAATACTAACCCGGTCACCAATATTACAAAGATTGTTCTCGTCGTGAGCCATGAACTTCGAAGTGCGCTTAACATATCTGTTGAACACCGTGTGGTGAAATAATCTATCCACCGCCACCACAACCGACTTCTGCATCTTATTCGAAACCACCATTCCTACTACTTGCTTCATCTTCTCTTATCTCCTAATCCCAAAAAACCCTAATTCAGATTCATTCGTATCAGTAAAAACAACATAGTAGCAAATAAAATCTCACACTATCACAAGTGAATTTCCAAGAAAAAAAATATTAATCACAAATAATTGTTACCACATTTAACTACTATAATTCGAAAAATCAAATAATCGTAACGGCACAAAAATTTAAATGTGAAGGTTTTACATACTGAATTTTTATTGTCAATCGCGCTTCTTTAAGGCGAAATCTCGATGCCGATGAAGAAAAGACGAAAAAGTGGGGAAAAAATGAAAACCTGAAAGGATTTGTCACTGTTTGTGGCGGTTTTCGGCTGCGTTTTCCGATGGGTTGATTCGGTTCGGCGACTCCAACTTCTTTCAGATACACCTAAGCGGCTGCGGATGATTCTTTTTTGCTTGTTTGATGGAACTGACTTGATGGGCCAAGTGGATTGGGCTTGGGATTGGTATTTTTTATTTATTTTGAGGAATTTCTTAATGCTTCCTATAGCTTATTTATGTATCATGCGAAAATACTTAAATGTCTTTAGATTTTGGAGAAGTAACTTTGAACGTGCTCAAATTTTAGTTAACGTTAAACTTTTTTGGAGGTGCATCTCCGAATTTAGTTCAGAGATGCATCTCTGAAATGTTTTGGAGCTTAAATAGCGTTAAAACCCTTCTCCTTCCTCATTTCTCATATTTCTAAAAACCTCTTCAAACTCTCACAAACTTTTTCTCATCACCGAGTCCAAAATCAAACAATAAATCTCAAGGAAACTTCAATCAACATCAGAAACATCATCCAACACTAAATCAAAGTGGAAAATTGTAAGTTATTTGAAGTTTTGAAAAGTTTGAGTTTTTGTGTAAATGAGTAAAAATTGATTATTAAGGTTAGAAATGAGTAGAAATTGTAAGTATGATAGTTTAGACATAGTGTAAAACACATTTGTTTGCTGAAAAGGATGATTAAAATATTATTTTTTGTGTTTGCATGTGTGCATTGGCGCCATTGACGCACCTGCTATGTTATAGAAAATTTCGGAGACGCATCTTCGGAATTTTTCAACGTTTCAGTTTTCCAGTAATCGGAGATGCATCTCCGAGATTTTCTCAGTCTTTTTTTTCTTTCTTGTAGTGTTGCTTGTTGGCACTAATTATCTAGTTTACTTTAACTTACATACATTATGGTTGATAGACACGATAGGCTGAGGCACATGAGGATTGCACAACATGCATTAGTGCGGCGGGAGAAGAGTCAAGTTTCGAAGGCTCATGTTTCCTCTATGCAGAGCCATCTACTTCTGGGGCTTATGCTTCTCCTGATGCTTCTACGTCTTCTTTTTCCCGTGTGAAACTAGTTTCACCTACTAGCATATCACTCCCACCATTCTCCCACAGGCGTCAGGTTTCACTTATTCAGGCACCCGAGGTACACGAGTCATGGGTGGTACCTCCTACTATTGATACTGCTGAGTCAGTGCCACCTCATACTAAGCCAGTGGTACCTCATATTATTGATGTTACTAAGCCAGTGCCACCTTCGGATGGTGAGACTGTTGAGGACGTTGAGCCAGAGACTTTTGGAGGAGGCCCTATACATTTGTCACTGCTACCTCTATACCTATACCATATTGTCATACATATTTGAAAAGGAGAGGTATCATTAGTTAGATTCATTCTTTTTAATTTACGTTTATTTTAATTGACGATTTTCTGACATTGATTTTTTTTCAAGACCAGGATCCATTAAAGTTTATTAACCACAGGGGAAAAATTATTGGATTCCCTCAACCGAATGAGGATTAGTTTCAGGAAGTTTTGTCCCTATATGGGATGAAGGACTCGTGCATGACCAGTTATATTACGGTCAACCATGTGATGCTTAATGCATTTGTGGAGAGATGACCCTTGGAGATCTCGTCATTTCATCTCTCGCTTAGTGAGATGTCTATCACACTAAACGATGTGTTGTGTTTGCTACATCTTCTGATCAGGAGGAAACTTCTAGATCATGGGAGGATTACCAAAGACGATGCACTCAAGATGATGGTAGACTATCTAGGGGTTGACCCATGGAGGCAAACGAGGAGTTGGATCGAACCAGGGGGCTCATGCTAGGTTTGAATACCTGAAAAAGGTATATACATATGAGCTCCATAGAGCACATCAGACCACAGGTGATGACGAGCAAGTGGGTCTCCATAGAGCGCATGCTATAAAAGCATATCGGTTATATTTAGTTGGCACTATGATTTTTGTGGACAATAGTGTCACTTATACAGATGTCATCTACCTACGGTACTTCAAGGTTTTCGAGTGGATCCATGAGTACAACTAGGGGGCCGCTTGTTTGGTCTACCTATACTCGAAGTTATTAGAGGGTTGTAGTTGAAAGACGAAGCAGGTCATAGGAAACATCACACTACTGACGTTAATATTTAGTGGTCTTGTGAAAATGACATAAAAATAGTTTCGCAAATATGAAATGAAAATGACATAAAAATATTCAAGGATCAAGAATTATTACCACCAGTAGTGTCATGCTGCTTGTGACCTGCTTTGTCTTCCACAAACATCCCTCTCTTAACTTCAAATAAAGATATGTCAGGCAAGCTGCCCCCCAGTTGTACTCATGGATCAGAACGAGATCCAAGAAGTACTTGAGGTATGCAACGTTGGTATAAGTGGCACTCGTGTCCATAAAAACGTAAGTGCTGTCATGCCCTAAATTTGTCCTACCCATTTGTAAATATTTTCGCATTTTTGTTTCATGTCGTTTAGGCGCGTGTCCGCCCCCGATTGAACGTTTTTTTTTAAAATCTCGATTAATTTGTCCAATGGGAGCGTGACACGTGGCCTAAGGGTATTTTCGTAAATTTCAATTATTTCTCTTTTCCCTTGCAAATATTATTATTTTTTTTATATATATTTGTTTTAGCATTTATTTAATTTAATTAGATTTTTATTATATTTTTTAGATTTAAAATAGTTATTTATTTTTCCTTTAGAATATATTTTATTTTAATAGTTTTTAAATAGTTTTTTTTTTATAAGTTGTATATTAAATAGGTTTTTATTAATATTAGAATATTTGTAAATAATTTTTGTTTAATAGATTTTTTTAAAGTTTATTAGTTTATTCAACTATTTATTATTTTATTAGATTATTTTGTTTAATTTAGTTAGATTAGATTAACTAGGATTAACTAGGATTAGTTTATGTTTATTATTAATTTTGGTTATTTAATTAGGATTTTATTTATTAGCTTTTAATCAATTTTAATTGGTTTCTATTTTAATTATTGTAAAACCAGTCTTTCTTTCATCATCAGTTTTTTTTCACTAATCATCATTATCATTAATCAACCATCATCTAAGCATCCATGAAACCCGCCACGTGTCAGATGTTGATGGTATAAGTACTATTCATTTCCCCCTTCCTCAAAAAACCTAATCTGAAACCCTAGCCTCCAAGGATAACCCTAAAAACATAACAGCAGCTCCAAACCCTAGGGATAACCCTAGCCTCCAAAGACCAAAAAGTTCAGCCTCCACTCCAAACCCTACCGCCGTCCAACTCCACTTCGAACGCTAACCCCAAATCTTTCCTCCATTAACAAACAACAACTCATTAAAACAGCTTCCACGAATCCTTCGAACCCACACCCATCATTTTTCAAACCTCTAACTCACTTTCTGAAACCAACAACCCAGATTTCTTAAACCCAACCGAACCAGAGCATGAAACAGAAGAATAAGGCGAAGCTCAGATCTTGAACAAATCTCAAGCGAGGCACGCATCCAAGTCGAAACGCAAACCTGTGTGAACGAGAACCAAACAAGATTGACTCGATTGATTCACAGCAGGAGTCGAGGAAAATAGATTGAGTGAACGAAGGTTGAGAATCCGTTTGGGATGTTTCCCCTTTCGCCGTTTTGTTCTTCTAGGTTTCAATGGCGTTTTTTCTTCTCTGATTGAGTTTTCTGGGCACATTTTTTAGTCTTGTAGTTTCATTTTTTTTGAAAGTGTGTTGCGTTTTGGTCAAAGGTTCCAAGTTTTATTATTTTCTTCTTTCACCGTTCAAGTTGTGCCTACCGTGTTTTTCAAAAACCAAAGTTAATTTGTAATTTAATTCTGTAATCAAGTTTTTTATTTATTTATTTTATTATTTTATTTTCATTTAACCTAAGTTTTTGGACTGTGGGGATCGATGGGTCTTTGTGGCCCATTTGCATATTCTACACCACGCTTTCATGTTCATAACCCCCACTGTTTATTTATTTCATTTTAATTTATTAGCATATTTTATGATTTTTGTAAATATTATTATTATTATTATTTTTATAAACATTCTGTACATATGTATTATATATATTTTTATATTATATTTTAGTTTTACATATTTTGTATATATTATATATTATACATTTTAGAGTTTTTGTATATATATATATATATATATATATATATATATATATATATATATATATATATATATATATATATATATATATATATATATATATATATATATATATATATATATATATATATATATATATATATATATATATATATATATATATATATATATTATCTAGAAGTTCATTTTATTATTTTAGAGATAGATTCCATTTCTCTTTTGTCATTGGACATTTTGTCCCATTTCATTTGTTTTGGTCGATGACGAGACCTCTGTAATTCATTACCAGTCAAATTATTGATGAGTAATGTTGGATCTGAGACCACCTCTTCTCTCTCTTCATTACCTGTCCCGACTCGATTCAAAAGCATTGACAAACCATCTTCAAAATCCAATTATCTTTGTATTGAATTAAAAAGAGGGGATTAAGTGTAGACTTTCTTCCTCTCCGTGTGTTGGGATGCCCACTGTAGTGAGGGTGGTTCCGACACTCGTCTTTCAATACGAAGACGCTTCCCGTCCATTTTCAAATCTCATCTCCTTAAAATCTTTTCTTTGTGTTGA